CCAATCGAAAGACATTCCCTCACTGCTTTCAACCTCCAGTCAAAGAAGGCAACAAGGCAGAATCAAAAGACTTCTCCATACACTGACAGCCAGGCCAATCGAAGGATAAAACCTCACTGGTGCGAACTCCCAGTCGAAGGATACAACCTGCTGCTGCCTTTGCCCAATCTAAGGACAGGACCTCGCCCCTGCCAAAGCCCAATCGAAAGACGTGACTTTGCTGTTGCCAACCCCAATCGAAGGAGGCCAACAGAATGCCAGTCGAAGTGTGCTCCTGCCAGAATCGAAAGACACTCTTTTTCTTACTTTTATCTTTTTTTCCTTCATATTTTTTATGCCTTTTGATATGTTTGTAATAGCGTAGGTTTTTATCTTTCTGCATTTTTATTTACTTTGTACAAATGCTAGTAATTAGGTGTATAGCAAGATAAAATCAAAAAATAAACAAACCAAAAAAATCCAAAAAAACACTCTTTAATCATTACTTGAATATACTTTAAAACATGCAAAAACACTCAACAAATCAAAACTCCCCCCAAGGGCATGTTATCTCCGTTCTAACGTGATACCGGCCATGCCTATTGCTAGAATGCGTACGTTAACATCGCCCACTAAAAAATACAAACAAATCAACTTTTTCTAGAGGAACTACGGTGTTTTGATTCCTTCATTAGATACGTAGGCAAAGGGTCACGAAACCCTCACGAACGCAATAATAAAAACTCATTTCTTTCCCCTTAAGCAAACATAGTTGTAGATAAATACACCCTTGTATATAACAAACAATTTTAACCAAAAAACAGATATTTCAAAAGGTTCCTGCGGAGTACCGCAGATGTATTGGGTGCTAATACCTTCCCATTGCATAACCAACCCCCGAACTCTTGATCTCTTTCAAAATCGCATTGTATTTTCATTACTTTTAAGTATTATTTTACATTGCATGTTTTAGGGTTTTATTTCGCTCTTTTCCCTTTTCCCTTGGAAATAATAAAGCGCGGTGGCGACTCTTGCTTTTGAGAGACGAGTTAATTAATAGCTCGATCTCCGATTTTCACCGCTACTGAATTGCCGAATCTGCTGGGGACAGATTGACCTCTTGCTGGTTCATCCCTAAAGTGGGTTAAGCCTAATTTGTCATATTTTTTTTTTGTTATTATTACTTGTTTGTTTGATTATATGTGATATATTATGGTTATTTGGGGTATTGATTACAAAGGACAAGTCCTATACCTGGACTAAGTTACACTTAGGAATAGGACGGGCGGTACAGTCATGTTAACTTTGAGGGAGTAATCCCGAAGAAGGAGGCATGAGATCCCCCACTCAGTGGAAGGCCCTTTTGAACGTAATATTTGTTTACCGAGTAATCAGGAAGACATTATTATTTTCGACCTAGGAGCCAGAGAAGCTGAGAACCGTAGAACCCTAACCCATCTTGGCCTTATTAGGGGTAGCGCGGAGATTATAACGGAGTAATCCGAAAGTAATTGTTACGCGATTCTACGCTCGGATGAGTTTCTCTTCAGAATATTGCTAATTATTGAGTAATCAAGACGTTGGTAATATCCGAAGGAGGAATGTAGACTTCGGGAACTCTTAGAACCTTGTCTTGCAGGTGTGATTAAACCGTTAGTACATACCTTGGGGATGGTCTTTACCTTTGACTCCATGCTCGTGACGTTGAACCTTTCGACTTTGTTTGTGACCTTGCTTGTGGTTGTTGCATATCCATGCATTCATGCATCCATGAAACCCTTTTCACTTGATTTTCAAGGAATTTGGAGGTCTTTCTTTGTAAACATCACAAGTTTCGTCAAGCTCAATGGATCTTGGGTGTTGATAGGGTGAAAACCCTAATCCACCAAAATGGATGATTGATCTTGATGATAACTTGATCAACGCTTTGATCCAATTTAAAATTCATCTTCTATCTTCATACTTTGATGTTTACAACTTAATATCTTGAGCTCCTTGAAAGTCAAATAAAAAATCTCTTTTGCATATCATGCATCATTATACATTTTTGGTTTCACTTTCAAAGGTCTTTTTCCAAGTCTTATTTTTCCTTTGGTCTGACCAGTACAACACTCGCGCTAAGGGAACAGTGGAGAATATCAAGCAAGAGGTTTCTGAACTCCGTAGAGAGATGACTAATTTGGAAGCTAGTGTGGAGCTCATAACTGGTTTGGTCTGAATTTTGGTTGCCGCCCAAGTCAACCCCTTTGCTAAAGCATAAGTGAATCTATGTTGATTTTGGCCTTGAAGTTTAGGAGAGGTTTCCTTCAGCACAAATCCAGATGGAAAGCCTTCCCGGATTATTAACTTATTCATGCTTTTTGTAATTTTTCTTGTTTATCAAAACATTATTTGCATGTAAGAACTTGTTTGCATATGAATGATTATCTTAATACAATGAGTATATTTGTCTTGAAGAAATTCATTTGTTTCACTCATATTGTTTTCAAATTTTAAATTGCTTTTGCATTATGATACCAACTTGTTGCTCATTCTCTTGCCTAGGCAGAGATTGAAGGGAGGATGATGATCTAAAGAACACAAAATCTCTGGTTGTATGCTTTTGAATAAAATCTTGCTGACGATGTACAGGCATTGTTTCAAATCCCTAAACATCGGAGATATAAAGGAAGATAATACCTTGCTAACCCCTTTTGAGCCTTGAAGTAGGAGTTTCTTTTCTGTGCGAAAAAACCCTCAAATTTTAACCTGGGGCAGGGTAGTTTTCAGTTAATCTGATTGAGTGTTCAAAATTCATAAGGAAGATATTTCTGAAGAGAAACTACGAGGGATATCCTTCATGTATAATGAAGCCAAAAGATGTGGAACTACAATGTTATCCCTCATTCATCAAGAAACGAGGCAGTCACAATCCTCTCAACAAGTAAAGACAAGCTAATGTCACACATTTTGTTCAAAAGTCAAAAATCAAGAAAAAAAAAGAAAAGAGAAAGCCCGCTAAGTCAAAAAACTTGAAAACAAGTGACTTAGGCAAAAATTAGGGCATCCCGTTGAACTATCAATTCAAAAGAATTAGTTCAGGCAAAAGTTAGGGAAAATAAAAATTGCAAAGAAAGGAATACAAAGAAAAATTCCTCAGCAAAGAACAAATTGGTGACTACAAATACGAAGACATGAGGGTGGTTTCTACTCCGAAAGCCTCGTCGTTTCCTTAACCATCACAAAATCCTTTTGAGAGATGAACACTCATATTGAATTAACTGAACATAGGGTTGGAGAACATCATGAAGAATGGGTGGGCACCTATAAATTTTGAGCCTTAAAAATCTTTTTTTTTCTAAAAAACCATGAACCAGGCCACGTTACAACCTTCAAAAGACCTAATTGAAGCAAGGTTATTTTGAAAGCATACTTCAATGAGATAGTGTTCCTGACTCCCATGAATGTTTGCTAAATAGTTACGTTGGTATCATATGCTTTTGCTATACAAAAATAAATGTTGCTCTAATTCGCAAAGTTTGTGCGATATCTTTTCAAAATCTTCAAGACTTACATAACTGTTGCATTAGAATTTTCATTCTCATAATAAACTTTTTCTAACTGCAAAACATTTGTTTGATATCAAGGAAGCTCACATATAAGCACTAGTGATGAGTTTATTCTTTTAAGGCCTGAAACTATGATTGAGTAATTGGAGAATCATTTCAAGAAAAAAAAATCATATCCAGGGGCATGTCACCTGAAGACTGTAAGCACGAACATGTTGCTTCCCCCAATTAATGCTTTCCCAACTTGTTTACTCTTTTGGGGTAAAATTTGAAGACTTTGTTGTGCCATTTACAGTTAATCCGGGGCAATCACGTCGAGATTTGATGAATCTCTCTAAGAGTTTGACAACACCAGAGCATGGTGAATGCCAGGTCTTTTATACACTATAACATTTGTTGTCTCTGGCAACACTTTTTTAGGTAACATGTAGAAATTGTTGCCTTAAATTCATATAGGCAACGATTTACGATTGTTGTCAAAAATATGTTTGCAACCCTTGATAATCGTCGCCTAAAATACTTTTGGGGACGTTTATGGAGCGATACTCTTTTATTTTTTTGCCAACGGTTGTTAATTGTGCCCTTAACTGCTTTTGGGGACGATTTTAGAGCGTTAAAATATTATTTCTTTAGCAATGTTTGACAATTGTCCCCTAAAATATTTTTGGGGACATTTTTAGATTGTTACATTAGTTCTAATAAAAGGCTACATTTCTGAAATGTTGTATAAATTTTTTTAGAATTATCAAATTTTTGGTGGCAATCTTCCCTCCAAACCTTATACACTAAAAAATAAATATTTTTCTCTAAACATTATTAATATATATAAAGAAAATATTTTTCTAACACAGAAATTTAAAAATAAAAAATTTCAATTAAACAGAAAATAAAAAATTATATATATATATATATATATATATATATATATATATATATATATATATATATATATATATATATATATATATATATATATATATATATATATATATATATATATATATATATATATATATATATATATATATATATATATATATATATATATATATATATATATATATATATATATATATATATATATATATATATATATATATATATATATATATTAAAAAAAAATTCATTAAACAGAAAATAAAAAATTTTCTAACACAGGAATTTAAAATATTTTTCATTACTAGTCCTCTCAATTATTGCCACGTCTTATTAAAAAGAATAGAAAATAAAAAAAAGAAAAAGAAACAGATAAGGAAAACAAAAGCAGCAGCTTTCGATTCTCCTTCTTTTTCGTTCACACATTTCGTCGAACCTAGCCGCGCTCTCAGACGCTCCGTCCTTCATCCGCTCCGAGTTAAACCTCTTTCGTTCACACCCTCCGCCGTGTTCTTCGTCACTCCGTCCAACTGCCACGCCGTGTTCGTCGTCCACGTCGTCGTCCGTTCGTCGTTCGCCGTCCAACTGCTTTCGTCCATGTCGTCCGCCGTCCACGTCATCCGCCGTCCACGTCGTCCAAGTCGTCCGCTGTGTTTGTATGTATTTCTGCATTTATATTGAGGGGACCTCTTAGCCGTTGCCGTGACGGAAAAGGATGTAGCTAGGGACGACGAGTCCAGATTCCAGAATCCAATTTTGAGCATGCTGGACTCCAAATTGGGCGGGTTATTGGCTGAAGCCTCGTTCGAAGAGGACTTCGCCGGAAAAGTTGGACAGTCAACGGTTCTCCGAATTGCAGCTGAAATTGGATCCAAGAGAGTCGCCTTGCTTGGCCTTGGAGCTTCTGCTTCTGGTCCGGCCGCCTTTAAAGGCCTTGGTGAGGCTGTTGCTGCAGCTGCTAAGTCCGCTCAGGCTGTTCACGTCGCTGTCGTTTTAGCTTCTTCTTCTCAAGGACTCTCTTCCCTTAACACTGCCTCTGCAATCGCCACTGGTATTTCTTTTCTACTTAGATACAGTTTCTAGTTTAATTTTATTCTCTAAACTTATATATCAAGTATTTTCTTTTTATGAGTTTGTGGGAGTTAATAAAATATACAAGTTAGTTGGTTAATGTTAGAATTAACTTAATAAACTTCAACATTTTTTTTATTATAGAGAGGGCCGAGGCCCAAAAGAAAGAAAACTAAAAAACACACTCTATAGAGCTTAAAATTCCTAATTCTATATCTCTAATAATTTACATAAGAAGAAGACAGAATCATTCTTGGGCGGTTTATAGGAATCGTTCCTTCTGGAATTTACTCACCTATTTATTGAGCGGTTTATACAATAAGACTTAAATCTCATTGTTGATTTTCCAACGAGTAGCTAATTATCTATGATTGCCAAATTACCTCTATAGTTGTATGTATGTATATGATGTATGTTTATGTGTAAGGTTGGGATGTTTATGAATTGTGGTAGTGACCATTCTGGGAACATTTGAGGATACCAGGTACAAGACGGAGTCGAAGAAATCGTTCCTTAAATCAGTTGACATTATTGGTCTCGGAACTGGGCCTGAAGTGGAGAAGAAACTTAAGTATGCAGGAGACGTTTCTTCTGGAGTCCTTCTTGGAAGGGAGCTTATAAATTCTCCACCTAATGTTCTCACACCAGGTTCATATCAAATTTCTGATATTGTTTTTAACTTTTAGCTCTAGAGTTTAGGTCAACTGTAATCTTGCAAGGTTTATAATGAACTGTCGGACACTCGCTTGTTTGCAAGGTTATCAAAATTCACAGTTGAGGTCAAATTGTAATCTTGCAAAAGTTTGTTACTTAAAAATTTCACTGTTTTGTTTTCTTGCTAGACTCTGCACTTGTGTTATTGTGTTATAACTATACATTATTCTCATAAAAATGATTTCAAGTACTCAATAAATTTGGAGAAAGGCAGAGATTAATGCTTTGAAACAAGCCCACAGTGAAGAGGTCTCTACATTAAGGGACGAGTTTCAAGATAAGATTGATAGATTGCAAAATGCTTTTAAGACCGTAATACAACAATGCAATCCTCAAATTAATATAGAGTCAATTGAAGATTTGTTAGGATTATCTCATGGAGATGCTAATAGTTCCCCAAAGGATATAAGACCGCAAATGCATTCATCTACATCAACTCATGCTCCATGTCATGGAAAGGTAACCATATATACCAATATTATTGATTTATATTTTTCTAATTATGTTATAATATCAAAATGGTTGTTAATGTATGCAAAAATTTGCAAGTAGTGACAACACCTAGAATAAAGTAAGTGGTTGAAATTGTTTAAGTAGTGACAACACCTAGAAGTGGCTGAAACTGTTTTATTTGTGCGAGCTTTCATTGATATTTCACAAACATACTTGCCTGGGATAAGATTATGGGACCCCCTTGTTTGATAACACTCACTATGTATGCTGTAAATTTATCCATATGATACTGAACACCAAAGAAGATACAACAAGTAAGAGTGTTCATCAGAGTTCATTTACTCCAAAAAATAAACATAAAAGGATAGCACAAGTTATACATACATACATACATACATACATACAGTTAAAGGCTATTGTAAGTCCTGAATAGTGAGCCAAAAACAAAATGGTTTTCATAATTGATTTATTTGCTAGTGAGCTCATGTCACCTATTACAGTTTAGAACGAAAATTCACATCCATTAAAAAACTTCATAATTAATTCACATCCATGAGATGTGAAGAATATAAACAATGTGTTTTGTTCATTGGTTTAGTTTTTATTTGTGCGAGGTTTAATTCTTGGTGATGTCTTAATTGTCCTTTGGACCAAAAATACTTATGGTTAATGTGTTTTATTTTATTTTCTTATGCAGCAATGTATCAATGAAGATGTTGAAAAGGACGATATAAATGATGAAATTCAAGAGGACGACATAAATGATAAAATTCAAGAGGACGACCTAAATGATAAAATTCAAGAGGACGACGTAGATGACGAATTTCAAGAGGACGACATAGATCTAGATGATGAATTTCAAGAGGAGGATATAGATGGTGAATTTCAAGAGGACGACGTAGATGAAGAATTTATGGAGGATGACATATCTAACGAATTTCAAGAGGACGATCTGGATGCTTTACTCCTAGAAGACAAACTTGAATGAGTTGGATGATGTCTTTTTTTTGGCTTGTAGTTGAAAGCATTAAACTTGAAATATGATTTTTGTTCTTTTGCTGAACTATGTTTTTAGTTATTTTACTAGGGTCATACTTCAAAGTATTAAAAGTAATATTGTTACGTTAGGAATTTTGTGTACACTATATACTATATCTTGAATTAAAGTTTGAACTCGATTTTATTATAATACAACTTTTATGGATGTATGGTTTAAGTTATATAATCAATATTATTTTTGAAGCCAATTATTATTGACTATATTATTTTGATAAAAATTGCAAAATTGTATATTTTATGTGGACACTATAAAACAACAACCTATAAGCTATGGCTACACTTCAAAAACGATCTTCCTGATTCAGGTTTAAGGCAACGATTGTTAATTGTAGCCGAATTTGGCAACGCAACGCTTAAAAAACGTTGTCTCAGAGGCCGTAAATAATCGTCCCCTATTCCTTTACTATAGGCGACGTTTTTCAAAAGCGTTCCCAAAAAACATAAAAAAAACGTCGCCTCAAACAATAGGCAACGCTCGCACAGGAGACGCCTAGAAAACATCCCCTATTGTTTTAGGCAACAATTTTCAGAGTTCTGGCAACATTTTTCAATTATTGCTGGAGAGCCTAAATGTTTTACTGATAAAATCCTCTTGAGACGATTACTCCTCATCAACCATATAATTTGGGGCATTTAATAAGTGAAGTTATTCGCAAGAATTGTTGTGCATCATGCAGCTTATCAGTAGTAAACTTGGGGCATCCAAAATTAGTCCCAGGGACAATCCAGATTTGTTAAGATATGTGATATGTTTTGCACACATTATCAGAGGGCGGTGTTCCCAGTATCTCCAGCTAAGCATGACTTTTTCCCGCTGAAACATTGTTTGTGTTGTTATCCTTTCAATGGATTGTTTGCGATAGAAGACTGGACTTTGGGTTTTCTACCGAAAAATATCTTCCCCTCCATAGATATTTAAGCCTTGTAAAAGGACCTTACTCCAATGATGGCTTTTGTTTTTATCTCCAGTAATGTTCCCATCCTGTTGAGATTAGCCTGTCGAGTTATACTATGATGTCTTATCATCTCCAGTTTATCCTTTCTATCTGTTTTGTCAATCATATACATGACATTCATTTATTCATTCACACTTGCATCATGCATGCACATTTATATTTGTTGATGTCATTGAGTTCGTATACCTTGGTTATGTCTATTCAAATAGTGTATTTTCTCTTTCCAAATAGAGTGTCAACTTAAGCAGAAAAAGTGTATCCTTTCTAATTCCCCACTGAGTTAACTCTCGTGGAAGAATCTTGCTTTAGCTTTCCTTTTCCATCTCTGGATAGGATAAATCCCCATTTGAGTTGTCTCCTCATTGGGTGGAGTCTTGTTTGACTATTTTCTCTTTAGTTTATTCCTGGATTGAGCTTTGTCTCTTGTGAATGATACCCTGTGGATATCTCTAGGCTGTGAAACCTAGATGGAGAGTTCATTTATTTTGCAATCTAAATACTTGGTCTCCTCAGGAAGGATTTATTCATGGTTCCACATTGAATATGAACTTTATTCCCTAATAGTGTTATCATAACCTTCTTCTGGAATATCGACATGACAACAAGCGATTGACTCTTTATTTGAGTAGTTTGATCATTTCTGAATTTCTTTATGACAAATGGCGATCTCTTCAAGAGAAGTTTGTCCATCCTCGATGAAATTATTGATTCTCGCCTCCAGCAATATCTTCATGATATTTTGTCGATACCTTTGAGAAAACAGCAAGCGACGGTCTCTTCATGAGCAACTTGTGTGTTATTGTTCTCTTGAAAAACAACAAGCGGAGGTCTCTTCATGAGCAAATTGTATGTTATTGATACCTTTGAAAACAACAAGCGGCGGTCTCTTCATGAGCAAATTTTATGTTATTATCACCTTTGAAAACAACAAGCGGCGGTCTCTTCATGAGCAACTTGTGTGTTATTGTCACCTTTGAAAACAACAAGCGGCGGTCTCTTCATGAGCAACTTGTATGTTATTGTCCTTTTGAAAAACAGCAAACGGCGGTCTCTTCATGAGCAACTTGTATGTTATTGTCACCTTTGAAAACAACAAGCGGCGGTCTCTTCATGAGCAACTTGTATGTTATTGATACCTTTGAAAACAGCAAGCGACGGTCTCTTCATGAGCAACTTGTATTTTATTGTCACCTTTGAAAACAACAAGCGGCGGTCTCTTCATGAGCAACTTGTATGTTATTGATACCTTTGAGAAAACAGCAAGCGGCGATCTCTTCATGAGCAACTTGTGTGTTATTGTTCTCTTGAAAACAGCAATCAGCGGTCTCTTCATGAGCAACTTGTATGTTATTGTCACCTTTGAAAACAACAAGCGGCGGTCTCTTCATGAGCAACTTGTGTGTTATTGTTCTCTTGAAAAACAGCAAGCGGCGGTCTCTTCATGAGCAACTTGTATGTTATTGTTACCTTTGAAAAAAACAGCAAGCGGCGGTCTCTTCATGAGCAACTTGTGTGTTATTGTTCTCTTGAAAAACAGCAAGCGACGGTCTCTTCATGAGCAACTTGTGTGTTATTGTTCTCTTGAAAAACAGCAAGCGGCGGTCTCTTCATGAGCAACTTGTATGTTATTGTTACCTTTGAAAAAACAGCAAGCGGCGGTCTCTTCATGAGAAACTTGTATGTTATTGTTACCCTTGAAAAATAGCAAGCGGCGGTCTCTTCATGAGCAACTTGTGTGTTATTGTTCTCTTGAAAAACAGCAAGCGGCGGTCTCTTCATGAGAAACTTATATGTTATTGAAACCTTTGAAAGGAAGCAAGTGGCGGCCTCTTTATTTGAGCAGCTTGTGTATCCCCAACAATAATGCAAACGACACCTCTTCGGAAAAGTCCCATGGGGAAGTTTGTATTTTATCCTTTTCAAGCGATATCTTGGTTAAAGAAGGAATGTGTTACCGTTCTTGGTAAAATTCAGAAGTCACAGATGTCTATCTCCAGTCTCAGTACTGATGTCAATCATTTCCTTTTCCAGTCACAGTACTGATGTCAATCATTTCCTTTTCCAGTCTCAGTACTGATGTCAATCATTTCCTTTTCTAGTCACAGTACTAATGCCAATCATCTGTCAGTCTTAGTGCTGATGTCAATCATTTCTTTTTCAGTCTCAATACTGATGTAAATCATTCAAAGAGTCTCTCATTGGAAGCCTATGACTTTGTTTCCCCATTGGAGTTATAATCTCTTTCCCTGTGGGATTACTGTATAATGCGCTTGGTTTCTCCAGCATAGTTTGTCTCATATGGCGTCATTCCCCATAAAATTCAGAGCATTGCATTCATATCATATCATAAACATAATTGCGGTATCTTAGGGCCAAAAATTGTGTATTCTATATTTAAGTCCCTTCAATCTCGTCGAAATGAAGATTCCAATCTTCATATCTCCGGATAGAAGAAACTTAAATAGGGGCAGCTGTCATACCCCAATTTTTGACCTAAGATCCCA